CTTAGTCATATGCATTCCTGTGGTGTTTGAATTCCAGGTCCTTTCCTGGAGATGAATCCAAAGATGAACTAAAAATATACGAGACTGTAACCAAGCTTCTCCCAGTTCAGCTACTGAAAACATAAAAGGGCTATGACTTAGGAAGTCGAGAACTGGGCTAATCACATGTAATTTCAATTTAATTAAAACTGAAACACAGACTCGGATCTACTCAACTCTAAAAGAAATATGAATGATCACTCCTCACCCCAATTACCAGATAGAGAAAAAGATTGCACTCTCTGGGAGGAAATAATTAAAACAAATCTAAACGTTATACTTCAGCCACGACTCTTTTTTCATACACAATATCTGGAATATAGTAAAAAATTATGAAGCATGCTAAGAAACAAGAAAATAGGATCTATAATCAAAAGAAACAGACCCATAGAATCCACAGTTATTGAAATTAATAGACAGGATCTTAACACAGCTATTGCATATATGTTTTTAAAAGTTGTGGGGAAATGGATATAATGGGTGCAAAGATTGGGTATTTCAGAAAAGAAATGACAAACTCCTAAAAAGAACAAAATAGAAATTCTAGAAGTGAAAAATAGAATGTCTGAATCAAACAATTATTAGATGGGCTTAACATAGGTTCAGTATTGCAGAAGTAAGGATTTTGAAGTGAACTTAAAGACAGACAAATGATTTGTCTGTATTAATCAGATAAAATAGACTTTCAAGCAAGAAGTATTATCAAGTAAAAGGATATTTTATAAAGATAGAAGGGAAAGTCATCAAGAAGAAAATAGTTTTAAACGTATAGGAAATTCAAAATATATCAAGCAAAAAATGGATAGAAATAGGTCACAGTGGCTCACGCCTGTAATCCCAGCTCTTTGGGAGGCCAAGGCAGGCAGATCATCTGAGGTCAGAAATTAAAGACCAGCCTGGCTAACATGGCGAAATGCTATCTCTACTAAAAATACAAAAATTAGCTGGGCATGGTGGTGGGCACCTGTAATCTCAGCTACTTGGGGGGCTTAGGCGGGAGAATTGCTTTAACCTGGGAGGTGGAGGTTGCAGTGTGCCGAGATCACATCATTGCACTCCAGCCTGGGCAACAAGAGTGAAATTCTGTCTTTAAAACAAACAAACAACAAACAAACAAACAAACAAACAAACAAACAAAAAAAGGATAGAGATAAAGAAATAGAAAAACTCAGAATTATAGTTGGAGATCTTAATATATTTTTCTCTCAGTAATTGATAGTGTAAATAGAAAACAATTTAGAAAGAATATAGAAAATCTGAATCACCCTATCAATCATCTTAATTTAATTGACATTTATAGACTACTGCCCCAAACAACTGCAGAATACTTATTCTTTTCAAATGCACTAAAATATTTACCAAGATAGAACATGTGCTGAACCATGAAAAGAAGTCTCGATAGAGTTCAAAATACAGAATTTATACAGAGTATGTTCTTGGAACGTAATAGAAAACAGTAACATAACGATATCTAGAAAAATTCCCAAATATTTGTACATTTAACAACATATTTCAAAGAAGGAATCACAAGGTAAAAGAGAAAATATTTTGAACTCAATTATAGTTAAAATACAACATGTCAGAATTTGCGAGATGTAGTAAAGCAATGCTTAAAGGGAGATTTATAGCTTTAAATGCTTGTATTAGGGTTAAAAATGGTTTAAAATCAATGCTCTCATCTTCTATCTTAAGGAGCTATTAAAAGAAAAGGCAAATTAAACACAAAATAAGTAGAAGGAAATAAATAATAAAGAGCAGAAATCAATGAAATAGAAAAATGAAGGGAGTCAACAAAACCAAAAGTTGGTTAATTAGAAAAATAAATTTGTTTAAAAATTATAATTGTGAAAAAAGAGAGAAAACATGAAATCTCAACATCAAAAGTGAAAAAGGCCAGGTGTGATGGCTCACATCTGTAATCCCAGCACTTTGGGAGGTCTAGGTGGGGCGGATCACCTGAGGTCAGGAGTTTGAGACCAGCCTGGTAACATGGTGAAATCCTGTCTCTATTAAAATTACAAAAATTAGGCTGGCCGTGGTGGCTCACGCCTGTAATCCTAGCATTTGGGGAGACCTAGGAGGGTGGATTGCCTGAACTCAGGAGTTACAGACCAGCCTGGGCGACATGGTGAAACCCTGTCTCTACTAAAAATACAAAAAATTAGCCACGCGTGGTGGCAGGCTCCTGTAATCCCAGCTACACAGAAGGCTGAGGCAAGAGAATCGCTTGAACCCAGGAGGTGGAGGCTGCAGTGAGCCAAGATAGCACCACTGTGCTCCAGCCTGGGCGACAGAGCAAGACTCCATCTCAAAAAAAAAAAAAAAAAAAGTGAAAAAGAGGAATTGCTGGAGATGCTATAGACATTAAAGCAAGAAAAGGGAATATTGCCATCAATGTTACTCCAACAAATTCAATGACTTTGAACAAACTCCTTGAGAAACACAAATGAACAAATCTGACAAGAAATAGAAAGTTTGAATAGCCTTATGTCTTTTGAGGAAATTATATCAGAATTTGTAAAACCCTCCCCCCAAAAAAATTCCAGGGTCAAATGGCTTCCCTGGTGAATTCTTGCAAACATTTAAGGAAGAAATAATGCCAACATTACACAAATTTATAAGCATTAGAAATTGTTATTATTATCAGTATTGTTTTCATAAGTCTGCTCCCTCAGTTATCAACTTCCATCTTAAAGCAGCAGAACTTTTCATAGTCTTCTAGAAAAACTCTGAATTCAATGGAAGATGACCTTGTAAATCCTATCCTACCTTTCCTATCTGTGTTCCTTTGAATTAGAATGATACATGGTGTTTACAAAACACCCTATATTGCTGTTGCCTCTGACTAATCTTTTCTAATCTTTTTACACAAAATCACTTGTTCCTCTGGGACTTGAGAAGAAGGGTTGCCAAGCCATGTCAAGGTGTCATCAAAAGTTTTTCAGGGTCTTATTACACCTGGTTTTCTGGTAATTTTTAAAGAACTAACACTCTGTTTACTTTTTTCTTTAGTATTCTTGTATAAACCCTTTCTGGAGCTGACAAAGAATTGCTCAGATTATGTGTTTCCTGCTTTAATTTGATTTTATATAATAGGCTCACATTAAAATTTGTATCATAAATGGAAAATCTGTGAGCAATCACAATAATGGCTGTCCTTCCTCAGAAATACTAAGAGCTGGTTAGGCTACATCATTCTGAAACATGCTCTATCACTGTTGTTTGATGTAGTTCCAGCCACATCTAACACAGGAGGCATCCAAACTTCTTTGAGTTGAAATGACTGAGGATGTACTTTTCAGAGACCCCAGAAAACTGGCAGTGTCGACTGAAGAATACTCACAGCAAGAATGAGTGCTAAGCATTTATAACCAAGTCAGTGATGAGGCACCTACTGCTCCGGATACCTCTACCATGGTTTCTTTACTCTCTCCCCAGCAGAATAAATCTGAATGTTTTAGACCTCAAGATGTCTGGCCTCAGTAAAAAATAGTTTTTTGATGGACTATGATATTCTACTCTTTAGAGTAAAGACTAAGCTGCTATAACTGAGAAACTCTAAATTAGAATAGCTTTTTATTAGTTTGTTCTCAAGCTGCTACTAAAGACATACCTGAGACTGGGTAATTTATAAATGAAAGAGGTTTAATGGACTCACAGTTCAGCATAGCTGGGGAGGCCTCACAATTCTGACAGAAGGCAAAATTAGAGCAAAGGCACGTGACAGCAGGCAAGAGAGGGTTTGTGCAGGGGAACTCCCGTTTATAAAACCATCATGTCTCATGAGATGTATTCACTGCCACAAGCACAGTATGGGGGTAATTACCCCCATGATTCAATTATCTCCACCTGGCTCCACCTTTGACATGTGGGAATTATTACAATTCAAGGTGAGAGTTGGGTGGGGACACAGCCAAACCATATCAACTTTAATAAGGTAAAATTTTTTTTCACATTTTTGAGTAAACATATATTGAGTATGTACTCTGTTCCAGGTGAAATGCTGGGGACTGGGCACGCTCAAATTAATAAGGGTTCTTGTCCTCAAGAAGCTCAGGATCACGTTTTGTGTGGGTGTGCATGCATGCATGTTTTTAGGGGGCAGGTGTTACAAATAAATAGCCTTTAAGTGTGATAATATTATATTGTTTACTGAGTGCAGATTTTAATATCACTACACACACACACATACACACAAATGGTAACTAAGGGATGTGTCAGTTAATGTAACTGGTAATTAGTACACAAGGTATATCAAACCATGATGTTCTACAACTTGAATAATATATAATTTTTATTCATCAATGAAATATTTTAAAATAAAAAAGAGAATAAAGGTGTAGTGGAGGTAGAAGGAAATGAAGACCAAGTAAGGAATTAAAGATAGATCTTCAAAGAGATCTCAAAGAGATTAAAGTATTATTTTTATTATAATACGTGTAATAATAAGTCATCTGTTCCTGAGAAGTATCTCTGTTTTCACCCTGTTTTGACTTGAAAGCAGGTATCAACAATTCTTTGCAATCATCTTAAAGAATGTTTCTTACTATCCAGACAATAAGGCCAGGCATGGTGGCTCACACCTATGAGCACTTTGGGAGGCCGAGGTGGGTGGATCACGAGGCCAGGAGTTTGAGACCAGCCTGACCAACATGGTGAAGCCCCATCTCTACTAAAAATACAAAAATTAGCTGGGCGTGGTGGAATGCGCCTATAATCCCAGCTACTCAGGAGGCTGAGGCAGTAGAATTGCTTGAACTCAGAAGGCGGAGGTTGCAGTGAGCTGAGATCGTGCCACTGTACTCCAGCCTGGGCAACAGAGTGAGACTCTGTCTCCAAAAACAAAAACAAACAAACAAACAAAAACTACAGCCAGCAATATTCATTTTACTGAGTATTTTGTAAGGGATGAGGGCAATTGGCATTGCATGGCTCATTCCACTATTAGTCCTCTTTTTCAGCTCTCCAATCCTGAAGTCAAAATGGAACGCATCTCTGCTATTCCTCTGGGCATCATCTAATTTGTTTATTCTAGTTTTTCTTGTACTGGAATCTACAACACCCTCTCCTAGCCCCTCAACCAGCCTTTCTTCTGCAGAGTAACTTAGTTCTACTTAGCAACTGCAGACCTATTCACCTACATCCAAGAGTTCAGCAGTGTCTTTTAAGTATGGAATAGGCCATTCTTTTACATTTTATTGAGATGACTACTTTTAAAAAATTAGTTGCTACCCAGAACTGTTTAGAACATTGCTTGCTTTAGTTAAGTGAGTGAAGCAAGGTGTGATAATGTAGGACTGGGAGGCTAGGGTTGGGCATTGTGGTAGCACATTATTTTGTTACTTGAGATTGCCTGTAATTGTATACATTAGTGACCAGAGTGATACGAATCTCACAGGGGCTCTTGAAGTTCTGCTTCTTCCCTATTCCTTAATGCAATACAATATTTGGGTTCATCTTTTCAATTTTCCTGGAGAAATTAAATACTGTGCCATAATATAAAAATAAATAATTTGAAAGTAAAGGAAGGGCACGAATGGAGAGGAGGCAGGAAAATATTCTAGGTTAGAAAAAATGGCGGAAGTAATGTTGGGACATTGGAGTGATGGTGGAGGTGGGAATAGAATCTAGGATCTCTTCATCCCATGCTATGCATCTATCTTCACGAAATTAGTATGGCCAAATATTATATCAGCTCATTTCTGGTTGGGAAAAGCAGGATGAATGTGCCTTTCTAGCTGTCCTTGAGATGTAAATCTCCTGTAACATAGCTTCCCTAGTGGTCACCTCAAAGGCTTTGTTCTCTCCAAGATAGATGCTACAGAGTGGGACGGTACTTGGTGTGTGTGTGTGTGTCTCAATTTTTTTTTTTTTAATATGACAAATTGAACTAGGGGCAAGAGAAGGATGGACAGAGGAGCCTATGATGGGGTGGCAGGTACTAAATATTTTCCAGGTGTAAGGAGCAGAGGAGGAAAAGGGAGAGTGGGTAACCCTTTTTCAGACCATTATTTAGTCCATTTTATGTTGCAAATATTAGCAAACCTACTCTAGTGTTCTTAAACAGTAGGGTTTTCATTACAGCACAGTTAAGAGAGTAGGCTTAGGAGTAAGATTGCTTGATCCTGAGTAAGTTACTTCTCTTGGTGTCTCAGTTTCTTCATTCCAGTTAAGTAAATGTGTTTAAATTAAATTATATTAGTTAGTAAACATAAAGCACATAGAAAAGTGTCTGGCTTCTGGTTAGCTTTCAATAAGTGTTAACTATTATTTGTTATTATCATTTTAGCAAAACCAACCTCCAAAACCTATGAAGTCAGTTTACAGAAAACCACCAGGAAAAGGGAAATAAGAAGATTCTTTACTTTGCTGTCATTTGATACACTTAGCATTTTAAATTACTAATGTACAGTATTAACTATGCTTTTCCACAAAACTATGTGTGTGCATGTGAATTACAGAGCTTTCATTTGAAACTGAACTATCTGTGTGTGTAGTTACTTTAATCATTCAACAAACCTACAAAATATTTAAGCATAAATTATCATGATGACTAAATACAGAAAAGCTGCTGTTACCAAAACCCGCACCCAAATTGACTGCACAGGATGGGTAATTGGATGGTGGTGTAAAGAATGCTCATGAGGACTAGGCTGCTGTTAATTAGATCTTCTGTGCCATTTAGATGTTCTCCAAGCTTCAGGGAGTTCCCTGAAGGCAGTTGGACATTAGCCTTGTGGTTTTTTAGGGTAACCTACAGTTTGTCAGCACAGGGGTGGAGGTGAGCACCATGGGACTTTTCCCAGGCTGCTCTTTAACATACTGTAGTTTCAATCTTTAAGCCAATAAATGGAGGAGAGAGAAAGAAGGCAGACTGAAATTAGAGGAAAAGAGGGAAAGAAAGGGAAAGTGGAAGTAAGAATAATATTCATTAAATGTCTTCTTTGGGCCAGATATTTTTTAGGAACTTTCACATATTGTGCTTGCATCAACTCTGTGGGAAACATATGATTATTGATTATACTGTCCTCATTTGTAACAGACATTGTTGGGTGCCTATATAACAGCTATTTTTCTTCATTATTTTTCTTGCTGATAGTGCATTCTTTTTATTTTTTTAGTGTTTATTTCCCAAATAGAACTTATGTCTCTATCCGTCAGCAATAGGGGTAATTTTGAAAATTCATTATTTTGCAATTGCCCTTGAAAAGACATTTTTTGACATAACAACAGATAAGATTCTAGCCAATGAAAGGTGATGAGAAGGTTGCTGAGAAGTTTCTGAGAAAAGTTTCTTTATTCTTTAACAAATACCCTGGAAAGAGACAGGCCTTCTGCTGCTGTTCATGGTTGTACCTGCACAGGATGCCTGAAAAGGAGTAACCTTGGGTTCAGAAGAGGAGCCAGCGTGAGGACAAAGCAGACACACTGAAGTACCACCTATCACTGAATTTTTGTGCAAGAGCATAAACGTTCTCATTGTTTAATCTTTCCATGGGAGACACTTTACTATGTGTAGCAAAGTAATTCTAACTGATATACCATTTTCCATTTTATGAGAAAACTGATGTACAGAAAGGTTAAGAAACTTGCCTGCATTTGCATGCGTAATGGGGAGTAGAGAGAACAGGTTGTGCCTTCTAATATACAGACAAGATATGTCTCTTTTAAACAGCACATACATACACACTCTAATATGACAATTTCCATCATTTTTAAAAAATTAAGTGAGACAAAGACTCTAAAACTCTTTATTTAAATAACACATACATTACTGTCTTGGGATTTATTTTTATTTTTTTCAGCTGTATTGAGATATAGTTGACAAATAAAATGGTATGAATTTAAGGTGTGCATTGTGATGATTTGATGTATCTATATATTGTGAAAAGACCACAATAAAGTCAGTTAACATATCTATTACTTCACCTTGTTATCATTTTTTTTGTGGTGAGAACATTTAATATCTGTTCTCTTAGCAAATTTCACATATACAATACAGTATTGTTAATTATAGTCTGTGTCCCCTTTGACCCAACGTCTCCACATTTCCCCGACTTCCTAGCCCCTGCTAACCACCATTATATTTTATTTCTTTAATTTTGACTTTTTCGGGTTCCACATATATGTGAGATTATACAGCATTTGTCTTTCTCTGCTTGACTTTTTTATTTGTTGGATTTTTTTTAATGATACTTTAAGTTCTAAGGTACATATGCACAACGTGCAGGTTTGTTACATAGGTACACATGTGCCGTGTTGGTTTGCTGCACCCATTAACTCATCATTTACATTAGGTATTTCTCCTAAGGCTATCCCTCCCCCAGTCCCCTCCCCCCAACAGGCCCTGGTGTGTGATGTTTCCAGCCCTGTGTCCATGTGTTTTCATTGTTCAACTCCCACCTATGAGTGAGAACATGCGGTGTTTGGTTTTCTGTCCTTGTGATAGTTTCCTGAGAATGATGGCTTCCAGCTTCATCCATGTCCCTGCAAAGGACATGAACTCATCCTTTTTTATGGCTGCATAGTATTCCATGGTGTATATGCCATATTTTCTTAATCCAGTCTATCATTGATGGACATTTGGGTTAGTTCTAAGTCTTTGCTATTGTGAATAGTGCCACAATAAACATACGTGTGCATGCATCTTTACAGTAGCATGATTTATAATCCTTCGGGTATATACGAAGTAATGGGACGGCTGAGTCAAATGGTATTTCTAGTTCTAGATCCTTGAGGAATTGCCACACTGTCTTCCACAATGGTTGAACTAATTTACACTCCCACCAACAGTGTAAAGCATTCCTATTTCTCCACATCCTCTCCAGCATCTGTTGTTTCCTGACTTTCTAATGATCGCCATTCTAAGTGGTGTGAGATGATGGTATCTCATTGTGGTTTTGATTTGCATTTCTCTGATGGCGAGTAATGATGAGCATTTTTTCATGTGTCTGTTGGCTGCATAAATGTCTTCTTTTGAGAAGTGTCTGTTCATATCCTTTGCCCACTTTTTGATGTTTTTTTTTTCTCTTGTAAATTTGTTTAAGTACTTTGTAGATTCTGGATATTAGCCCTTTGTCAGATAGGTAGATTGCAAAAATTTTCTCCCATTCTGTAGGTTGCCTGTTCACTCTGATGGTAGTTTCTTTTGCTGTACAGAAGCTGTTTAGTTTAATTAGATCCCATTTGTCAATCTTGGCTTTTGTTGCCATTGCTTTTGGTGTTTTAGTCATAAAGTCTTTGCCCATGCCTATGTCCTGAATGGTATTGCCTAGGTTTTTTTCTAGGGTTTTTATAGTTTTAGGTCTTACATTTAAATCTTTAATCCATCTTGAATTAATCTTTCTGTAAGGTGTAAGGAAGGATTCCAGTTTTAGTATTCTATATATGGATAGCCAGGTTTCCCAGCACCATTTATTAAATAAAGAATCCTTTCCTCATTGCTTGTTTGTGTCAGGTTGTCAAATATCAGATGGTTGTAGATGTGTGGTGTTATTTCTGAGGGCTCTGTTCTGTTCCATTGGTCTATATATCTGTTTTGGTACCAGTACCATGCTGTTTTGGTTACTGTAGCCTTGTAGTATAGTTTGAAGTCAGGTAGCGTGATGCCTCCAGCTTTGTTCTTTTTGCTTAGGATTTTCTTGGCAATGCGGGCTCTTTTCTGGTTCCATATGAACTTTAAAAATAGTTTTTTCCAATTCTGTGAAGAAAGTCATTGGTAGCTTGATGGGGATGGCATTGAATCTATAAATTACCTTGGGCAATATGGCCATTTTCACGATATTGATTCTTCCTATCCATGAGCATGGAATGTTCTTTCATTTGTTTGTGTCCTCTTTTATGTCATTGAACAGTGGTTTGTAGTTCTTGAAGAGGTCCTTCACATCCCTTGTAAGTTGGATTCCTAGGTATTTTATTCTCTTTGAAGCAATTGTGAATGGGAGTTCACTCATGATTTGGCTCTCTGTTTGTCTGTTATTGGTGTATAGAAATGCTTGTGATTTTTGCACATTGATTTTGTATCCTGAGACTTTGCTGAAGTTGCTTATCAGCTTATGGAGATTTTGGGCTGAGACATTGGGGGTTTCTAAATATAGAATCATGTCATCTGCAAACAGGGACAATTTGACTTCCTCTTTTCCTAATTGAATATCCTTTATTTCTTTCTCTTGCCTGATTGCCCTGGCCAGAACTTCCAACACTGTGTTGAATAGGAGTGGTAAGAGAGGGCATGCTTGTCTTGTGCCAGTTTTCAAAGGGAATGCTTCCAGTTTTTGCCCATTCAGTATGATATTGGCTGTGGGTTTGTCATAAATAGCTCTTATTATTTTGAGATACGTTCCATCAATACCTAGTTTATTGAGTGTTTTTAGCATGAAGGGCTGCTGAATTTTGTTGAAGGCCTTTCCTGCATCTATTGAGATAATCATGTGGTTTTTGTCATTGGTTCTGTTTATATGACAGATTACATTTATTGATTTGCGCATGTTGAACCAGCCTTGCATCCCAGGGATGAAGCCTACTTGATCATAGTGGATAAGCTTTTTGATGTGCTGCTGGATTCGGTTTGCCAGTATTTTACTGAGGATTTTCGCATTGATGTTCATCAGAGATATTGGTCTAAAATTCTCTTTTTTTGTTATGTCTCTGCCAGGCTTTGGTATCAGGATTATGCTGGCCTCAGAAAATGAGTTGGGGAGGATTCTCTCTTTTTCTATTGATTAGAATAGTTTCAGAAGGAATGGTACTAGCTCCTCTTTGTATCTCTGGTAGAATTCAGCTGTGATTCTGTCTGGTCCTGGACTTTTTTTGGTTGGTAGGCTATTACTGATTGCCTCAATTTCAGGACCTGTTATTAGTCTATTCAGAGATTCAACTTCTTCCTGGTTTAGTCTTGGGAGGATGTATGTGTCCAGGAATTTATCCATTTCTTCTAGATTTTTTAATTTATTTGCATAGAGGTGTTTATAGTATTCTCTGATGGTAGTTTGTATATGTGTGGAATTGGTGGTGATATCCCCTTTATCATTTCTTATTGTGTCTATTTGATTCCTCTCTCTTTTCTTCTTTCTTAGTCTTGCTAGTGATCTATCTATTTTGTTGATCTCTTCAAAAAAGTAGCCCCTGGATTCATTGATTTTTTGAAGGGTTTTTTTGTGTCTCTATCTCCTTCAGTTCTGCTCTGATCTTAGTTATTTCTTGCCTTCTGCTAGCTTTTGAATGTGTTTGCTCTTGCTTCTGTAGTTCTTTTAATTGTGATGTTAGGGTGTTGATTTTAGATCTTTCCTGCTTTCTCTTGTGGGCATTTAGTGCTATAAATTTTCCTCTGTACACTGCTTTAAATGTGTCCCAGAAATTCTGGTACGTTGTGTCTTTGTTCCATTGGTTTCAAAGAACATCTTTATTTCCGCCTTCATTTTGTTATTTACCCAGTACTCATTCAGGATCAGGTTTTTCAGTTTCTATGTAGTTGTGTGGTTTTGAGTGAGTTTCTTAATCCTGAGTTTCAGTTTGATTGCGCTGTGGTCTGAGAGACAGTTTTTTTGTAATTTCTGTTCTTTGAAACACTGAGGAGTGTTTTACTTCCAATTTTGTGGTCAATTTTAGAATAAGTGTGATGTGTTGCTGAGAAGAATGTATATTCTGTTGATTTGGGGTGGAGAGTTCTATAGATGTCTATTAGGTCTGCTTGTTGCAGAGCTGAGTTCAATTCCTGGATATCCCTGCCAACTTTCTGTCTCGTTGATCTGTCTAATGTTGACAGTGGAGTGTTAAAGTCTCCCATTATTACTGTATGGGAGTCTAAGTCTCTTTGTAGGTCTCTAAGGAATTGCTTATGAATCTGGGTGCTCCTGTATTGGGTGCATATATATTTAAGATAGTTAGCTCTTCTTATTGAATCCCTGTACCATTATGTAAGGCTTTCTTTGTTTCTTTTGATCTTTATTGGCTTAAAGTGTGTTTTATCAGAGACTAGGATTGCAACCCCTGCTTTTTTTCGTTTTCCATTTGCTTGGTGGATCTTCCTCCATTCCTTTATTTTGAGCCTATGTATGTCTCTGCACATGGGATGGGTCTTCTGAATACAGCACACTGATGGGTCTTAACTCTATCTAATTTGCCAGTCTGTGTCTTTTAACTGGGCAATTAGCCATTTACATTAAGGTTAATATTGTTATGTGTGAATTTGATCCTGCAATTATGATGCTAGCTGGTTATTTAGACTGTTAATTGATACAGTTTCTTCATAGCATCGATGGTCTTTACAATTTGGCATGTTTTTGCAGTGGCTGATACCGGTTGTTCCTTTCCATGTTTAGTGCTTCCTTCAGGAGCTCTTGTAAAGCAGGCCTGGTGGTGACAAAATCTCTCAGCATTTGCTTGTCTGTAAAGGATTTTATTTATCCTTCACTTATGAAGCTTAATTTGACTGGATATGAAATTCTGGGTTGAAAATTCTTTTCTTTAAGGATGTTGAATATTAGCCCCCACTTTCTTCTGGCTTGTAGGGTTTCTGCTGAGAGATCCGCTGTTAGTCTGATTGGTTTCCCTTTATGGGTAACCCAACCTTTCTCTCTGGCTGCCGTTAACATTTTTTCCTTCATTTCAACCTTAGTGAATCTGATAATTATGTGTCTTGGGGTTGCTCTTCTTGAGGAATATCTTTGTGGTGTTCTCTGTATTTTCTGAATTTGAATGTTGGCCTGTCTTGCTAGGTTGAGGAAATTCTCCTGGATAATATCCTGAAGAGTGTTTTCTAACTTGGTTCCATTCTCCTTGTCACTTTCAGGTACACCAATCAAATGCAGATTTGGTTTTTTCACATAGTCCCATATTTCTTGGAGGCTTTGTTCATTTCTTTTTACTGTTTTTTCTCTAATCTTGTCTTCTTGCTTCATTTTATTAATTTAATCTTTAATCAC